CTCAAGTTGCAATGGGGGAGGTTTAGATTGGATAGTAGGAAATATTCACTGAAAAGCTTGTCAGACACTACAACAGGATGTCCAGGGAAGTGGTGGAATTGCCTTCTCTGGAAGTGTTCAGAAGGTGTGTGGATGTGATTTAGGGATGGGCTTGTTATTGCTAGATTAATGATTTGACTCAGTCTTAAAGGTATTGCTTCAGCCTAAGCAGTTCCATTATTCAATTATATGATCCTGTCTCTTTTAAATTTCTGGTATTATTTAGGTCTAAGACTTTCCAGTTAGTGGGTTACACAGCCTGATGCAAAAAGGTGGAGTTTACATCTCCCTGCTCTTCCACAGAGCACCAAATGATTATCCATTTCAACAGAGGGGTGCAAATCTTCAGTCTCTGCTGTTCCTTGCACAGCTATCAGCCTTGGAAGCAAGGAAACACCTCATTCCTTACATTTAAAATTAAAAAGTTGAAACAAAGCTAAGCTTGATTTTCTTGTCTTTTTTTCTCCTCCCTTTCCTGCACAGAGCAGGGACAGAGACCCTTAGCAGGTACTGGTGGGACGAAACCTCAACAAAATCTTTCCCCCACCCTGTCCCCCTTTGTTACACAGATGTGACAAGAAAGTCCCTGCCCTCATGAACTTCAAATTTGAATAGAGGAAGCAAAGGTTATAAGAGGAAAGAAAACTAATAGGGCCAGCTGACTGAACTCGAGTCCCCCACAGCCCATCAGGAGTAAATGCAGGAATAGAAACACATCAGTGAAATCCCAGGGAGGCTAAGGTCCATACTGCCATTCACACAGGAGGATATCCTCAGGCTATCCTGTATCTTCCTGTCCTCCGGAAATAATTCAGACAGGATGAGCCCTCAAAACAGCTCCATGGACATGTGGAGAGTAAAGCATGACTTAAATCCCCTGGCTTCTCACCAGTAAAACAACTGGCTTGATTTCACATGGAATATCCAATTTGGGAAAATAAAGCTATTGCATAGAGGATTGAAATTCAAGGCATCAGTGAAAGGCTTTCAGACGCTCACAATCTTGCCAGAAACCCAAAAGCATAAAGCTATCAGGTGCTGATTTACCACCTCAAATGATATCAGATGCTTTCAGTTAAAACTGCCCTGTGAATTATAGTCTTTTTTTGGTAAAGGCTTGGCTTTGCTGCCCTGTCTCTGTAGTCGCTGATGACCTTAAGGTCCTGCTGAGAAGGAACTGGGTTTTAGCCCACATGTCCTGTTTTGTCTTTGTACTCTACTTATTGCCCGATTTCCTGGATACTTCCAGAAGTACATTAAGCAGACTAACATCTGTACAATAACTAACATCTATTGTGCCTTTTTATTTTTTTGTCCCCAGGGCATGTGTGTGGCAGAGTACCTTGTTTTATTTTAAATGTACTTTAAAAATAGCAAAAAAGCACATTACCAAAAAACCACCTTGAGATAAATAGTCTTTGAGAGCTCAACAAAAGCACATGGTACATGTGCACATATAAGGTAAAGATAGAGAAAGGTGCTATATAGTTCAAACCCCAAGGTGGGGTTTGGCTATTCCTCCCAGTGTGAGTTCATTCAGTAAACCAGTCTGGGGAAGGTGCCTCATCCTGAGCTGATGAGCTGCTCTTCTCTGTAGAAAGTTTTCAAATCTGCTGACTTGAGCCTTCAGTCTGGTGCTCTCATAAGCCTTGTGGGCTCAGTGCCTTGTGCTGCCCACTGGCATTTGTCATCCAGCTCAGGGAGTGCAGTTCCCAGCAGTCCTTCCTTGGGTAGTGCCTACAGTCTTCCATCAGAGCTGTCTGCCTCACAAGCCTTCTGCTGTATGTTTGTTTTTATTTTCCCCAAATGCTTTGTGAGTCTTTGGGCTCAAAGGTGTGCAAGAAAGTACGAGGCTTTCTTAATCAAGTAGTGTTCACAAAGTTTTTTGTATGTGGAACTGAAATTTAGGTGCTCACTTTGCCATCCTGCCTGCCTCAGCTGACAAGATTTTCTTTTAAAAACATACTCATAACTTAGGAGTTTCAGTGCTGCTTTTTCTAATTTTATCCTTCCTCTTATTAATATCAGAATGACTGTTCTTTTGTCAGTAGATCATACTTTCATATGTAAAACATTTCTGTTGCATCATTGATGATGACTGTGTTTTATTTTTTTACCAAACTTGCCAGATAGTCCTGTTTACAGAAGCATAGAACTTTGGGCTGAGTAACTGGTTTACATTAATTCTAGAATAGTTTTGTTTTAGAAGAGAACCTTGCCATCATCTCTTCACACCTCCCACACAAAGCAGGGCTAGTTTCAGAATAGTTTAGGATTGCTCAGGAGGACCTTGTACTTACTGCTGACATTCTGGACACAGTTGTAATATGAAAATTTTAATTGGAAAAAACACGTATCTGCTAGTATACCATTACCATTGTTTTAACCAGCAGTTAAGGTATTTTAAATGTGTACTGAATGGATTTTTTTTTTCTTTTTGCTGTTGTGGTCTGGTTGTAAAAGTCATTGTTTTTATCTTACTCCTTTTGTGTAAGAGTGGGGAAAAAACCCTTTCTGATTCAACTTTTTAATGACGTCTGGCTTAATGAAAAAAAAAGCTATAAAAATTTCTGGTTGATTTGAGTACTACAGTAGGCTTCATGCAGTTGCTGGGGTTTGTTACCTGTTTGCATGCCTGTTCTATCAAGAATAGTGAAATAAAGCAATTGTTTGAATGAGACCCAGCAGCTCCTGTGCACAGCCCTGCGCGTTCCTGCTGCACACTTTGGCTACACAACAGCTCCATCTGTCGTTCCTGAACTGCAGCTTTCCCTGTGTGTCCAAACCTTTCACCACACAATTTTGTATTGATTCTTGGGCTTCTTCCCTCTGGCTTGAGAAATTTTAACATAGTCTTTACTCTTGTGATAAGATACTCTTTGGGGTACCTCCAGACAAATGCTGAATACTTTTTGGGGTGTAGTCCTCTAGCTGGCACTCTGGCTTCAGGCAGGAAGGATGCAGAATCAAGTTCTAAATCTACATACCTAGTTTTAGATGATTCCATAAAAGGCAAGCAGGACACATGGGCTTGTTTTTCCTATCTCTGACAAACAGTTTAATAAGAAATTTGAAATGGAAAAAGAATTTCTCCTGTTTACAAACAGACATGGAAGAAACGATGTGTTAGTTGTACTTTCTAATAGTGCTGGAGTTTATCAAACTATACAGTGACTTTTTAGATGTGCTTTAACTGATTGTTCCCTTTAATTGTCCCAAGGTCTCATGACCAGAGGCTTTTTCAGTTGCTCACTTTGTTCTGCCTTTCTACATTTAATCACTCTTAATAGGTGAAACTAAAATAAATAACTGTGCAGGTGAGTTGTCAGTGTGAAGCAAGCCCAGCATGTGTTGTCAGTACTAAAGTTCATCAAAAGAGCCCTTAAATACACATGATAGCATCTCCATGTACTTATGAGTAAGGAGGAAATGGCCTCCCTGAGGAAAACTGTGAAAGTACATAAAACAGTTTTATTTGGGTCTGGAAGCAGTCACTGAAGTTACTTATTGAAGGCAAAGACTTTGTCTCTCATGTCTGTCCACAGCATGCGCAGACCTTCATCTGCTCCTGCTGTTGTAGCAGTGAGCTGCAGCACACATGTCCTCCCCCTTGAGTCCAAGAGAGATTAATCTCTGAGGGAGTTCAGAAACGATATTTTGCAGCAGGCTGTACATCTGAAATAAGTTCCTGTGCTCTCTTTGACACAAAGCAAATATGAGCACCTGGTGTGGAGTAGCCAGATCCTGCAGGTCAAGCGTTAGGCTTTTCTGAGCTGCCTAAAGGAATCCGCCTAGCAGGTATGTTACTGTGATAACAGCAAATGCTTGGATTTGGGTGTGATCTGCTGCTTTTCAGCTCTCACTTACAGACTTTCATAAAATAGGGAATGTGAAAGTTTGTTTCCTGTAGCATCTGAGAGGTGTGGCAGAGTTTGGGTGTGAAGGCAGATGGATGAGCGAGCAGAGATCCTCAAGCCAGCAGATGTCAGGCTGTTACCACCAGCAGGAACTATGACAGGAGAAGGTGGATTGATGCACTGATGAAAGTCAAAGTTGGGAAGCTACAGGTCATCTTCAGCTGATAAATCAAAGCAGTGAAGAACTGTGAATATGTGGTAATTAAGTAGGATAGGTCTTCTGGAGTAATTCTGTGGTTTGGTTTTATTTTTTTTTTTTATATTTCATAGTAAAAGCCTGTATGGGTATTCCAGAATAAGATTATGCTTATGCAGGGAGTTACCTGTTAAACTCTCCAGTGTGGATGAATTCTAGGGGAAGGGTTGAGATGGATGGTGAATACAAAGCAGTGTGAGTAAAAGCTGGAAAAAAATGACCTTAGGAATTGAATTTCTAATGAGAGAATAAATCTAACACTATGGGGTTTGGGTTAAGAGGTATGATGTATATAGGCTGGCAATATTTGTAGAACAGTGGTAGTCAATAAACACCCACTTTCTAACAAGAATGTTTAAATTTAATTCTTATGCCAGAAGAAGAGAAAGAAGAGGTGGCTTTTTTATTGAAATCATTTTGGAGTTCATATTTGTTTAATTTGCTGGAGTTTTTTTCAGTGTTTTTTAATAAGTAGGCTAGTAAGGTATTCTTGAGACTCAAAACATCCTGTGATGACTCTTTATTTGTTGATAGTTTTGTTGCACAAAGTACTTTGTGACCTCTCAGCAGATTTGTCTGACTTCCTAAATATATTTAGAATATCTGGTGTTAAGTAGGGTGCTATAAAAGGGGCATGGATTTTTATTCTTAATGGCTGAAAATAGCATTTCTCCTTCAGTATACACACCTGTATTTTAGACTTTTTTTTTACAAAGCAGAAATAATTTGATGAATTAGGAATATAAATGAATGACTTTTTTTTATCTGTAAGTAACTGTCAGTACTCCCAGTGGGCTCCAGGATCAGTTCCAGCTTTCTGAACATGCTGCTGATGTTTGTTCTTACAGATTGATCACTTTGGGTTTGATGAAAATCGTACATTCCAGCAGCGGTACCTGGTAGCAGATCAGTACTGGAAGAAGGGCAGTGGACCAATACTGTTTTATACAGGCAATGAAGGAGACATCGAGTGGTTCTGCAACAACACGGTATGTGTGAAATACTGGGATTACAGTCCTGCCTGCCAGTGCTGGCATACTGAAAAAGTGAGGAGGAACAAGATGGCAGTCATAGAAGGTCGTTGAAAGATAGGTTTGTAATGATTGCTGTGATTGTTATAGGAGGAAGAGGAAGCTGAACAAAAGCACATAAAAAGCTTCGGGGGGGGGGTTCAGGGTCCTATTTGAAGCCCAAACAAACCAAAGGGATACGCTTGTATTAAATTCCTGGAGCAGTGAAGAAAAGTTTTAGAGGAAGCACCGTAGCTGCCCTAAGCTAACAATTCAGAATTTTGGACCAAATTAAACTTATCCTAGTATTTTAGATTCCCCGAGTAAAATTGAAGGTTTTCATGTTTGGAGTTTTGTTTCTCTATTAAGAAAAATATGAAGGGAGCTGGAAATCAAATTGTTCTCTGCAGTACCTGTGAAAATTTTTACTTTCTTGACTGGTACAAATGCAGAATGGAGTGTGTGGGTGTTTTTCAGCCATTTCAATACAAAGTCCAGTAACATGACAGGAGGTGGCATGTGCTAAGCTCAAAGTCACCAGGGACTGCTTGCATGATTTGTGCTGCCAGCAGATGATCTCTGTCTGCTTCTGCTCATAGCTGCTGATAACAAACTGTTATCAACAAGTAATAATAAGTTGTGCTTATTTATGAATTGAAAATAACTGTATTGCAATGCTCTAGATTAATACTTATTGACAAACAAGTTTTGTATTTTCTGTAATGTAGTCCTAAGTCAAATACATGCTTTTCTCCAGTAGCCTTTTTTATTTCCTGTGGATTAAGCTCGTGCCATAGGAGTTCTGTTAGAATTGCCTGTGTATAGTCACAAGACAAGGATACTTAATATTTCTCAGCATTGAAATACACATACTGACTTTGTATATATCGCTTTCTCTGGCTTGGTATCTGTTTTCTGTGTTTTCTGACTTAAGTGATTCTTAAAAACCAAATTGAATTCTGTCTTTCTAGTGGCATTTTGATAGTGATATCTTTCTAATCAAAGAACTGGAATACACTAGAAAAAATATAAGCTATATGAATGAAACTAGAGACTTTTAAACAAGTTGAATCAATTATTTTCTGTGTCGTTTTCCTCCAACCAGGGTTTTATGTGGGATGTGGCTGAAGAACTTAATGCCATGTTGGTATTTGCTGAACATAGATACTATGGAGAATCTTTGCCCTTTGGGAATGAGTCTTTCAGCGTAAGTGTCATCTTTTGTCTTCCTAATAAATGTATTCCATAGAGAAATAATTCTGTGTATTTTAATTCTTGCCAGGGCAAGTTAACTTGAGTGTTAATTTGAGTAAGATGTAACTTTTTTGTAACTATCAATTCTAGGGGAAAAAAACCCCCAAACAACTAGAGGTTTTGTTTTTTGGTTTTTTTTTTAGTACTTCAAAGGACACCTGCAAAGAATATTTCATTTGTTCTCAGGCACAAATTTACACCTGTGATTTTAGCTGTAGACCTGATTTTAGCTGTAGCTGCCGTGGGGAATAGAAAAACTGCTGCTGGAAATCACTCATGCTGTCCATAACCTGCCTTCTTTCTCTCAGGATTCCAAGCATCTCAATTACCTGACGTCAGAACAAGCTCTGGCAGACTTTGCAGTACTTGTTGAGTACTTAAAGACGACCATTGCAGGAGCCCAGCACAGTCCAGTCATAGCTATTGGAGGGTCTTATGGAGGAATGCTTGCAGCCTGGTTTAGGATGAAGTATCCCCATGTGGTGGTTGGGTGAGTGTGCTCCTCCTGCTTAAACAGAGCAGGCATATGTTACTTCTGTTCTATAAATGTTTCTGCTCTGGCAGAAGTACCATAATTCAAGCTGGCTTGAATTTTTCAGTAATAAGAAAAAGAATCAAGTTACTTTGAACTTGGGAAGAGGCACTGTTTGCCTAAAAAAGGCAGCTGTAGGTCAGCAGGTGTATTTTGTCAGAGTTATCTGTTAGATTTGTGAAAACAACATGTGAAAACTGACTTGGCACCTGATTTTTTTTTTTAGGGTCTCCAGACTTCCTGATTACTTTAGGCAGGTCTTTAATCTCTTTGATAGCCTAGTTACCCTCTTGCAAACAAGCTAGAGCTTATTTTCACTGACCAGTGCCTCTCTTCATTTGGGTTCACACAATGCCTAGTGAGAAAGACCTAACTGATAGATAAGAATGAAAAACAATAAAGTAATGAAGTCTGAATTTCTACCTCTACTATTTGCTGATATAGTTGTACTACTGTCCAAGACTTATATCCTCCAGCAGCCTTTTGTATACAGATCTGTGGAACAATTTTGCAGCATTATGGTTAGCTCACCTAGAGCACAGTGTCCAAGCTGAATTATAAATGCTGCTTAGATAGTGGCTGTGGGGAGGGTATGGAAGTCCATGTTGCAGGGGTTCAGGATCTTTTTATGTCCCTTTGCAGAGCTCTGGCAGCCTCTGCCCCAATCTGGCAGTTTGGTGATCTGGTTCCATGTGGCACATTTTTCAGCATAGTGACCAATGATTTCAGAAAGAGCGGCACGGGCTGCTCAGAGAGCATCCGGAATTCCTGGAATGCTATTAACCACCTTTCCTCAACAGGTAAGACCTCACCAGTGCTTTTTCAAAGAATAGTAACAATCAGGAGAGTGTTATGACTTTCACCTGTGTATGTCTTGGGTTTTTTGAAACTCTGCTCCAGTACTGAAATTTGCTTAGTGAACCTTGTACTGCTTTTAAATGCCTGTTTTGTTGTATCACAGATTTCTTTCAGGCCTGGTGGGATGCAGAATCCAGGTCCAAACGTTCCTAAGGTCAGATAAGAACAGACTTAAGATCAGAACCTCAAGGTTTATATTCCTTCTAACAAAATAGGCCAGATAGTCATTACTATAAAAAAAAAGTACTTTGCCAACTGAGGCATTCAGGAAGAGAAAATACTGTAGTCATTATGAACTCAGTGATAGGGACTTAGTTGGACTTCAGGATCTTTTTCAACCTAAGTGATTCTGTGATTATACAACTACCTGAAAAGAAGTTGTAGTGAGAATGCTGACTAAAAATTGATCTGCTGTGCTTATATATGTGTGGAATAGTTTCACTAAATTAGTTAGGCTGAGCAAAAATAGTTTTTAGCAGCAGCAAAACTGTTGTATATGTTAATGGTACAATTCACTAAATATTATTCTATCCATTTATTTTTATTAAAGATGCAGGTTTGCAGTGGCTTTCCAATGCATTTCATTTGTGCAGCCCCTTAAAAACTCTTCAGGATGCTGCTGTATTGAAAAATTGGCTGAGTGAAACATGGGTAAACTTGGCTATGGTGGATTATCCCTATAAAGCTGACTTCTTACAGCCTCTGCCAGCTTGGCCTATACAGGTAATTTAGAACCAATATCTTGTAGAACTGACTATTTGATTTAATTAATTCTCTCCTCCTCTCCTAGCTTGCACCATTTCCTTTGTTTTCTTGGCTCTGTAGAAGCAAAGTGCTGAGAAAAGGCAATCAAGATAATAACTTGTGCATGAGCTGGTTTGTTGCCTAACTGCCACTTGTAGGTCTAATAGATTATACCAACAGGCCAGGAGAAAAAGTGCCAGGGATGACTGAGAAACCTTAGTTGTCCTGCAGAGCTGTTCTTACACAGCAAAAATACTGCACAAAAAGCACATGAGTTTCTGATGTGAGATTTAGCTGACAGAGCTTGCAACTGATAAAGTTTTGAGCCTGTGTCCTTTTGGATGTGGGAAAACTAGTGAGAGAGAAAATGTGGATCACCACAAACATTCCCTGCTGGGTCCCTTTTCAAAGCAGAACCTATTTTTACTCTTGCAAGCCTTCATTTGTGCAGTACTGTTTATCTACAGTGCCCTCTCCAAGATTTCTATATCCTTGGAGTGTTCTTATCCTTTCAATACTCTGGCTGAATTTCCCTGCAGGACTTTGGGTTACTGTGTAAGGCAGGTGAGGCAGGTAAGATACAAGTGTTTTAGGCAGTAATTAATTATAAAACAAAATCTTTCCCTTGTATAGAGCTGTATGCTTGAGGAGAGAGGGAAATTCATCTGTCCTATGTGGCTGTCTGCAAAGAGCAGGATAAACACCTTGAAAATAATTTCTGCTTTTTTTATCAGTCTGAAAGAACCATGAAACATGCTTACCTCCACCACTGTCCATGTTACCTCTGTTTAGCTGAGGTATAAACCTAGCCCACAAGAGGCCACTACTCATCTGGACAATACTAATGCATGAAATCTGATTTATATAAGCTGTTTAGATACTTTCTTTTCTGAAACAGTAGCTCTATTATGACTCTGAGGGCAAGAAAGGTAGGGGGAAGATGTGGACTTGATGATCTTGGAAGTCTTTTCCAACCTTAACGAGCAGCTGGATATATATATATTTATATATATATATATATGCATGTTGTTTAATCTGTTCTCTGTTGTGAGCTACCTACATCAAACTGCAGGGACTAAACCCCCAATCTATACCTGGAGTTTGTGTTATCTATCTGTATATGCTGTCTTTAATTACAGAGGTACTAAATACTATTTATTAAATATAATCTATTTTAAAATATGGGAAATGGATTGAAAAATTTGGTGACAAATACATTACAGTGGCACTGTTGGGTTTTTTAAAAAAAGTTTTAATTAGGAAATAAAAAGTTTCAGGTTCTTCATAGCAGCACACACTGCACGTATGTGATATTGCTTTTTCTGATAATCAGGGTATATCATTTCATAGACAATTTCTGGAAGTGGTCTGACTCTACTTGGAAAATAAATTAATGTTCTACCAGGTGTCATGTATTAATAGTTAATTCATATAGATTGAGACTACTTCTCTTTGTTGCAGGAAGTCTGCAAGTTCTTGAAGGATCCCAGTCTCTCTGACAAATTACTGCTGCAGAATGTTTTCCAGGCAGTAAATTTATATTACAATTATACAGGAGAAGTCTCATGCTTAGATGTGTCGCAGACTGCAACGAAGAGTCTGGGTGAAATGGGTTGGTACTACCAGGTATGCTCACTAATCTTTATCAATTTCAAGTCAGTTGTGGTTTTTTGATCTAGAGCAGATGAGAATTGTCATTTAGCTGTCAATATATTGTGCCAGATGTATTGATGTAGTGATGACAAACATAGTCACACACCAATGATTGTAGTGGGAAAGGCAAGGCAGAAAATAGAAGCAGCTTTCTCAGGGGGTTTAGATTGTATATCTTCATTATCTAGCTACTTGTTGAGTTTCAGCTGTTCACATAGGCTGGAATGTACAGCAGACAACTGGAAGTTGTGTACGGCAGTCAGTTGTATGAGGTCTAACAAGGCCAAGTGATGGGTCCTGCACTTGGGTCACAACAACCCCATGCAGGGCTAGAGGCTGGGGGCAGAGCTGCTGGAAAGCTGCCTGGTGGAAAAGGACCTGAGGGTGTTAGTCAACAACAGCTGAACCTGAGCCAGCAGAGTGCCCAGGTGGCCAAGAAGGCCAGTGGCACCCTGGCCTGGATCAGCAATGGTGTGGCCAGCAGGAGCAGGGCAGGGATTGTCCCCTGTACTGGGCAGTGGTGAGGGCTCACCTCAAATCCTGTGTTCAGTTTTGGGCCCCTCACTGCAACAAAGACATTGAGGGACTGGAGCATGTCCAGAGAAGGAAAATGGAGCTGGGGAAGGGTCTGGGGCACAAGTCCTGTGAGGAGTGGCTGAGGAAACTGAGGTGTTTCGCCTGGAGAAAAGGAGGTGGCTGAAGAAAGACCTTAATGCTCTATACAGCTCCCTGAAAGGAGATTGTAGGGAGGTGGGTTTCTGTCTCTTAAGTAACAAGCAATAGAATGAGAAGAGATGGCCTCAAGCTGTACCAAGGGAGATTTAGATTGAATATTAGGAAAAATGTCAAACACTGAAACAGGCTACAGAGAGAAATGGTGTAGTCACCATCCTGGAGTTTTTAAAAAGATACTGTGCACTTAGGTACGTGGTTTAGAAGTGGATTTGGCACTTTTTGGTTTATGGTTGAACTCAGTCTTACAAGGTCTTTTCCAATCTAAATGGTTCTGTAGTAGTTAGGCAGTAATTACTGATCAAATGCTGTTTGAACCTTCTTTTCTACATACTGCAGTAACAGCTACTGGATGTTCCCCATGGCATATATTTTATTGACCTGCCCTTTCTTTCAGGCTTGCACTGAGATGGTGATGCCCTTGTGCACAGATGGTGTCCATGACATGTTTGAGCCTCAGAAGTGGGACTTTGATGCACTTTCAGAAGAGTGTTACAGGATGTGGGGAGTGAGGCCTCGCCTCTCTTGGATCCTTTCTATGTATGGAGGAAAAAACATCAGTTCACACAGCAACATCATCTTCAGGTAAGCCTTGTTTCAATTGATAGTGTAGTCTTCCACCAGTTTGGGTTTCCAGTGTAGAGAATCTGCCCCAAGTAGCGAAGGGATCTCTTAAGCACTCCAGCTGAATAAATTATGGGCATGCTTTGTGTTGCTATTGAGAGTAAAATGGTCAGTCTGCAGTGGCCAAAGAAACCAACTGTTCTGTTATTGCCTGTGTGACTCTAAAAGAAAAATCTGGGCTGGGATTCTGCCAAACATCATCTTTCCATGTGGATTCATTCTTATCTTGTGGTCAAAATTCACGTTTCCCCTGCTGGCAAATTCCTACTTTTATGAACCCAAAGCACTGTTGCTTACACATGAAAGGAACGTCTAAATAAGTCCTAGCTATAACACAGAATCTTGGTCACCAGAATTATTGCTCTGAGTGATAGCCTTGTGAAAGGGCTGGCATGACATTCCTTTTTCCCTTTGATACAGAAAAGAGAGGGAAGTAACTTTGGGAGTTTTTCTATTACTGCCAACAGCTTTTTCTTTTAGTGGCATTTAGACAAGTTTGAACAAATTTGTGTAAGGTCCAAATACAAAGATGTTTCTATTTTTGTAAGGAATACTGGTAATGCAACAAAAGTTTGTCTAAACACCTTTGTATGTGGACAAAAAATGAAAGAAATGTTTCAATCTAGCACAAAAAACTGGTCCATGCTGCTTGCTCTCTATTCAACCTTTGCTTCCCTGATTTTTAAGATTAAACTGCTGTCTTTAAAGGGAAATTCATGTGGTTTTACTTATGCTATGAGGTGATTTAAGTGAGTACTGTCTATCCATCAGGTTTTTATGTGGGAGGGAGGTGTCCCACAAACCCATTGAGGCCTCAGGAGTTCTGACTTTCTGTACCCACTGTGGGAAGCTCCTGGATATGTATTCCTTCATGTTTTGGTTAATATTCTGCAAAGCCTTTTCATAAAACACGTTGCCACTTCTACAAACCAAGCCTGGAATTAGTCTTTTGGATGTGTTAGATAGGTATGCATTTTAAAAGTAGAAAGTTCTCACTTGAATTGGGGATTATTTTCTGGATCACAGCTGTTGGTATCAGTCTGTTTAGCTGCAAAGGCATTTTGCTTTCCTCTTGTTTGCCTCTTGCTGTTTCTGTCCCAGCATGATATCTACTCTGGAGTGAGAAATCCCACCCTTTTTTGGAAAGCTTTTTAATAAAGAAAATTATTTGGTTTCACTTAGTTTCTGCAGAATGTTGCTTATTTCCAAGGCTGCACAGCTCTGTACAGTAGAAATCTGCTTTGTAAGCGATAGACAAGCAAACAAATCTAAATAAGTGTTTAAGAATTTATGCCAGCTGAAGGAGCTGGAAATGAGAAAAGCCTGAAAGCAACCAAATGAATGTTAAAGTAGTGCTGTACACACAAAGCTTTTGGATCTCAAGCTGGGATGTTTCTCTTCAAACAAATACATTGTCAACACTGTACATTTTATATAAGAGCCTTTTATTCTCAAACACTGCAGAGTGCTTTACAAAAAACATCCCAATGTTTACCAGGGGATGTGGCTCCCTGTGGGGTGAAAAGGACTGTGTTTCAAGTGACAGGCAACTTGCACAACAGTGTAGTGCAGGAAGGGAAAAGTACTCCATCTAAAGAGAACCACTGTAGGGTGGATTTATCCAGACACAGTAGGATTTGGCCAGGATGCTTAAACTGGTGCTGCTGCTTCTCCCTGTGTGAGCAGTACATCACTCTGCACAGTCACACTGTTGTTTGTACTGTGTGGGATTAATGCAGGGAATTCCACTGCCATTCTGCTACCTTCCTGGAATTACATAGTGTGTAAGCAGTTACTTAGGCTGTGGGCAGGTGGCACTTGCCTGTCCTGGGCAGTACATCTTTATTAAAACTGGTCTGAGGAAATTGGGGGTTTCAGAACCCTGTTTCCCCTTTCCCTTCCAGCAATTTTCACTCCTCTTACTGGAACATGCTGTGTACTTGATGTGGAAGTGCTGCACAGTGGTGGGAAGTGACATTTTAACACTGTTCATACAGGTGGTGGCAGAGAGCTTGTAGCAGTTGTAGTGTCTCATCATCTACTGTAGTAGTCAAAATCAACCCAGGTTACATTAGACAGTATGAAATTTGGTGTGCAGAGTCTAAAAATGTTGGGGTTTTTTTTCAGTCTCAGTGAATCACACCTAAGTTGTAAGCTCTTAAGTCAGGGCACCCACATATCCAGTCCTGCACTGGAACGGGAGAGGCAGAAAGTGAAGGCTCTGTTTTAAGAGATTTTGGTGCTCTGTGCATAAGGGAGAATTGTTAGCACTAAAGAAGGGAATGCAGGCAAAGAAGGGAAGGCAGAACAATATGTGTCTGAAGAGAAAAAAGTTAACAGGGAACATGACAAGTGTGGAAGGTGGTCATGTTATAAAAGGGTGCACAGACAGTGCTACTACAATTGTGTAAAACTTCTGGGCAGGGCAGGAGGGCTGAGGAGACTGAAGAGAATATAGGAAAGGGAACTGTGTGTTGTGGGATATGCAGAACCCTGTGTGTGCTGTCAAGGAAGCATATGAATTGAAACCATGCTGATTTTTGCATTAGTTTTTTTCACAAGTCCTGCTTGTCTGGCCACTGCTAGAAGGAAATGTCTGGCTTATTCTTTCTCTTCTTTTGCTTTGGGAAATTCCTGTCCCGTGAGATGGGCAACAGAGTACTTACATGCATGCTTAGTTTTAACACATAAATAATTCATTCCAGTTGGAATGATCTTAATCTGCAAAAACTGTTAAGATTTGTGATTTTGTGGTGAGACCTCCATCTCCCCTCCCATCAAGTTTCACTTCCCAAGCTGTGTAAGTGCCTCTGGTGCTATCCTTTGGAAGGAGATGCAGAGGATGCAGCCAGAAGCTCACAGAAAAGGCTGTGGCATGCTTAGCTTCCACATGACTAGGACCAAAGGATCCAAGTTCATCTGCATCATGGGTCTCTCAGCAACTCATCCCCCTGTTGCCAAGGTGCTCTGCTGATTCAGGTGACCTTTTAAATCCAATGCTTTTGGCTTATTGGGCAGCTCTCAACGTTTTTTGTTTTGCAGATACAAAATGTTTCTCTTGTCTTAGGTCGTATTTAGAATCACTGAAAGTAAGGAACTACAGAGACTCAAGATACTTAGTTGTTTAGGGTTTTTTTTTCAGTGGTGAAACAAGAAAAATATTAGGTTTCTACTCCAGATTATTTCTAAAATAATATTTTTTTAATTTTTTTTAAATTTTTATTCATTATTTTACTGTTATTTTCTGGTGCTGCCATTGTGGTATTTTTCTAGCACCGTGTCTCTGTGTCCAAGGATGTCTTAATTTCTTAGCTCCTTCTAGAAATTTACTCTCTCATACCACAGCCCATCTCTGACATTTCCTTTTGTGGGCAGGTCCAGTGTTTTAAGTGAGAAACAGATCTAGGTTTGTGTAGTTCCACAAGTATATGGATATTGCTTTCTTTGTGCAGAAAGGTGGGCCATGTGTGGGAAGGACATTGCAGTAAAGGAAAATAAGATGTAGCAGGGGTTATTGGGTCAAGCCCTAAGCTAGGACTTGAAGGACTAGGAATGAGAGATGGAAAGCTCTTTCCCAGCTGGGTTTGCTCTATGGAGTGTTATTTGGAGCCCTATCTATAGTGTAAGGAATTTTTAAAATTGATTTTGGAGGAGGAGGAGTGAATGGTATGAAGTTGTCCTGTTACAGAGGAAGAGTCATTTTTGACAGTTTTTTAAGGGAAAAAAAAATCTTCATTTTCATATGGTTGTTATTGAGGTCAGCACTAACAAGCCATCCAAGCATTTCTTTGCAAAACCACATTGGCACTCAGCTGAGACACGAAAAGGTAGAACTTCCTGAAAATTCAGCTCTAGAGGGTCTAGTGAGTAATTTGTTTATGGCAGACCGTGAAGAAGGAAAGTGAAGTGCTTTGATTTGGGAACTTTGGCATGTTTTGGTAGAGGGAAACCTGAAACTTTTATGACAATTACAGGTTGCAGCAGATTTCTCTTCTGAGGCTTTTATACTGTTACAAGTTATTATCTGAGTTAGCAGATAATTAGTGAGAAGTGTAGCCTTCCTTAAGCTGGTGATAGCTCCATATATCTGTCAAGAAGGTGCTTCTTAGCAGAGGGGTGGGCACAAGATATTAAGACAGGGCTGAGCTCTGTTTCTGCTGCTGCACATGCAAAACTAGTAGAAATGCTGATGTGAGCTGCAGCCTCACTGCTGACTGCTGTGCACATGTACCCTGATGAAATAGTCTTTCCTTACAGCAATGGTGGCCTGGATCCGTGGTCTGCAGGTGGGGTGACCCAGAACATCACCAATTCCCTCGTGGCAGTTGTGATCCCAGATGGAGCCCATCACCTGGACCTACGCAGCCGTAACCCATTGGACCCCAAGTCTGTACAGCAGGCTCGAGCCATGGAGATCTGCCTCATGAAGGAGTGGATTGAAAAGGCCAGGCACAGCCACTGAAGTGGTACTGCAACAACTGTGGCCATTATACCTCTCTTGGCTTTGCTGAGAGCAGGACCAGGCCTTGTGATATGGTCACTGGAGCATTTCCCTCCTGCTTCCTCACCTGCACTGCAGTGGTCACCATTATCCATGAGAGAGGCAGGCAGCAGATGGATGGAGAGCATTCTCAGATGATACACTCCAGTCAAAGTGCATGGATTGAGCTGCCTGCTCTGGTTTGCTTTCCTCTTCTGCTCTGCTCAAATGCTGTACTTTACTACACAGTAATGGGTTCCCGTTCTAGGCTTGTTGCCCTTCTCCTCACTGCACTGAGTGATTGTTCCAACAGTGGATTGCATGGGAGTGCTGTTGATGGTGAAACTCCTGCTGCCTCCAGTGTGGTTGAATTTCAGACATCCTCTGCTACTGGAGATAATGAGTGAACAGAAATCACATCTTTCTGTGATATTTGGTGGAGAGGTAGGCAAGGCCTGGGGAAACTGGCTGTACTGTTTGTAAGGAAACTAAGCAGCCCTTACCCTTTTGGAATCAGTGTTGGAGAATAAATAAATATACAACTTTTTTTCTACCTAGTTTTCCAGCAGCTTATTAATTGGCACATTTTTGTATTCTGTGCTGCACTGAATGGTCAGGGCTGGGCCCAGACTCACTCTACTGATAACTGTCTGAGCACGCAGAATCTGCATCAGGATTCTAGTTCTTCTTTTGCTGTGAGTCCTAATTCTGAGGTACCTGTCAATATCTGTGATGATGGTTACCAAAGAAAACTGATCGTATTTTGTGTGTGTATATGTTTGTACCCTTCACAAACACATAGCTTTTTAAAATCAGAAAGCTTTTGAAGCTATTCCCTTGAAGAGCAAATGTGACACTTGTGCTGGCTACATCTTAAGAAGTGACAAATAATTGGGGCTGTGCCTTGTGTGGGTTCTTCCCTCCCTTCCATTCTGTGTATTGTTCAAATTCTGCATGATCTGTTTGCTGATGGCTCTTCAATAAAAGCCTTTTAAAAAAGAAAATGTTTGCTGGACAAACTATTGAAAACACAGAATGCAGCTATTCCCTTGTATCAGCCTAAAGTCTGATGCTGAGCTCACCAAGCCAGGTGCACTGGGCTTTCTGTAAGGCTTCCAAACCAGACAAACTGCCCTGATTCATGAGACAGCATATTTGACATTAATAAATGGCTGGGGCAGTCCCCTTGTTTTCCAGCTTTGGCTTCATTCACACTGCAGCCCTTCTTCAGAAAGGATTCTTTGCAGTTTAAAGGACAACTCAGTTTTAGAATGACTCAGGCAAGCCTTCATGTCCCCAGACTCTTAAAATTCCATCTCTGTTGAAAAGTTCTCCCAGCTTTGATGATATGCCTGATAGTTGAGTATTTTCCTAAGATCCCAGGTGGCCTTTTCTTTTTCCAGTCTCCTCCTGTCCTCTGGGAACAAAGAGAACCAAACACTGAATTTTTATCTTTTCAAACACTCCTGTGTATCTTCTTTCCAACAGATTGTCTTTTTCCTCATCTAGTGTTGAACATGGCATTTATGTTCAGACTCTGCAGTCTGAACATCTTTTACTTTTGAGCAAGGTAATTTCTTAGATACTCCAGAGAACAAGGCCAAGTAAGAGCTACAGGGTTAAAGGATGAGCTGTGTAGGATTTGCCTGAAACCTGTTGACTGAAAAGTGTTGGTGTTTCTGTTTTCCAATAGTTCCAGTTTTTGCTGTAAATACACTCTAGACTCTCACTCATGGACTTTATAACATGTCCTTTATTCTTTTGAAATAAGTAAAATCTATTGTTTTTTAATCAATTATGTTACAGCAAAGTTTTTAGGAATACTGTTGTGTCTTCTTACATGTTAATTGATGTGTGGCAGTGTCCTGGTTTACTGCAGGGCATGGAATGAAACCTGTTAGAGTTCATATAAATTTGGGGATCAAAAATTATTTAATTGAGCAAGCAAGATCCTGGTGCAATTGCTCCCACTAGCCCACTGATTGTTCAGGATGCTACTCCAAGTGAAAATTTTGAGATAAGCATTTCCATAAAGATGTGAACAGCTGAAATTAAACAGCTACTCTATATTATTAGTCAGCTTGTGTCTCCTCTCTCTCCCCTGCTAGTGAACTTACTGTCTCAGGAAACAGCTGCTGCTTTGTTGTATGGAAAACACTTTTTAATTTCAAGCAGCAATTTCATTCTTCTTTCTCTTTTCATTCCTTTCATTAGCAAAAAAAGTTACCTTCAGCAACATTTAGGGTAGCATTCAATTTCTCAACTTTAAGTTTTGTGAAAAGACACTTAAAAATATTTTCAGAGGAGTTTTGTTTGTGTTTTTTGTTTATCTGGGGGAGGGGGGATGTTAATAATCTTACTATTCCATACAGTTTCTTTCTGTGAGACTGATTCAAGTGTACTTTGGATCAGGTTCTTATTGGTTGGACCAGCTTATGAATTATGAATTATTATTATATGACTTGTTTTTATGGTATTTTTTATTTTACTTTTTTCCTGTCAAGCTGAGTAGTCAAAACTTTAGGTCTTATCTCAAACATTCAGACTTGTTCTTATGATCCATGTACACATCTGTGAATGTTACAGAGGGACTGTCTTGTGGTTTGGCTACCTCATCTAAATTTTGGCTCTCCTGTATGTTTCATACAGGAGAGAATGAGTTGGGCCATAACAAATGGTTGATTTGTCTTTCCAGGCATATGGTGATGGGCCATACTTCATCTCAGGCATATGTGAGTCCTTGTCTTGTGTTAGAAATTACAGGAGTTGAAGACTGTATGTTTCCTACTCACTAGGGAAAATACAGAGGGAAAAATAGTTAATATTTTCCATAAAGCATGAATCTTATTGGTGAGCCTGCAGTTTGCATCAATAAAAATGCATTAAAATAATGTTGAATTTCTGGAACTGGATTTTGTTTTGCAGGGACATCAATTTTTATCCTTTGTCAGATTCCAAGTTCTGCAAGTGACATTGTCTAGTTTGTACCTGACTCTTGAGGAGTGAGGGGAGAGCTGGTTACAGGAATACTTGAGTCACACACATGGCAGTCAGGATGACAGATGGTGAGTCTGCACTCCTTTGGGACTTTCTCACTTCAGAGCTTTGGCCGTGGTGAGGAGCAGGTGTATGAGCTGGTTGTTCTCTGTAGGTGACCACACTGAATACAGTCAAGCTGCCTATAATGGGAAAAGTCCATTTTCCTTTTGAAAGCTTTCCCAGACAAACACTTATTTCCCCCATGTCGGTACTGAGGAAGGTTTTGAGGACAGATCTGTAACGTCCCCTGACCTGGCAAGGGGAGGTTTTAATCAAATAGTTAATAGGGTATAGCTATGGCTGCAGACTCTTGGGAAGGAGCTAAATAAGTTCTGCATTTTGTTTGGTCTCATTTTTTCAATTTGTAGGGTAATTTTAATTTTGAAGATGATCAAATATTTCATCATCAAAAGAGTGATGAAAAGAGTGATAGAAATGAAACTCCCTCCTGGAGCATGGATTCTAACTCACAGGAAAAGTGAGAAGTTTTGTCTCCCATGATGTCTGCCCACCAAGGATCATACAAAAAATGTCATTATGCTTCAAATAAAGGGATTTCTTTTTCTACATCTGCTCTTAAAAGGGGGTATTTAGCTGTTGTGAATTGAATCTCTAAGGAATAATGAGTGACCTAAAGAGCTTTATGTAGGTTAAAGACAGCACATAGACACTTGGATATTTTAGCTCCTTGCAGGACTAATGGTGGAGTCATTGTGCCTTTCTGGCAGTCTGGAGGACACTATGAGACGACTAAACCTGGGATGAAAGAATACAGGGGATTGTATACTCCAAGCCTCTATCTTTAGCTATCCCCTGTTGATTCAGAATGTGATTGTTATGCCTTAACTGGCATCTTACTGGATGTTTCTACTGTAGTCTCTAGGTTTTGGGTTTTTTTAAAAAATAATCTAATTTCTGTTTTTGAACCAAAGCCTTGTCTTACAAATAAGACTATAAATCTGTCTTTTTTAAAGACTGTCCCTGTCAAAAAACCTAAAATGGTTTGTTTTAGCAGTGCAGGTTACCAGAAAATGTGCAGTGAGGCAGTGACAAAAATATGCACTGAAGATATCTGTAAATTAACAGTGCTTAAGTACTTTTTAATTTCCCCCTTCTGTTGTTAAAAAATCATATTTTATCACTCAAAGATGCTGGGCATTGGAGCTTCCACTGGTCTGAGTAGACCTGTGCTCCTATATTGTTTGGATTCCTTGATTCCCAGCACTGCCTCCAGCTGCAGGAACATAAGCCGTAGTTTACCCCCCAGCCCAATTTTATTTTACTAGCAAATCTGAAACCATTTGATCCACATGCTTTAAGGCAGTGTCAGTCTCTATCATTTTCAGTAATACAAGCCCGATGAAGAAGTTGCTTTACAGCAGAGTTAGATTGCTGATTGCATTCCTACCCTGGGCCCTGCTGTGGTGGGGACCTGCTTTGCCCTTGCTGCACCCCCTGTGGGGATCCCGTGGTCCTGGGGTGTGATGCAGGGACAGCAATGCCCTCAACACCCCCAGCAGGGAGCGGTGAGGATGTGCTCCTTCAGCACGGAGCACCTCACAGCTGTGCTCTGCAAGGCAGTGATCAGCTCAACCTCGGCTGCTGCTCATCTTGCAGTTGCGTTTTGGGTGCCGAGGAAAATCAGCTGTGGGGGTGCTTTGGGTGTAACCTCTGGTCATCTCCACGTGTAACAATGTTCTCTCCAAAGTCCTCTGTGCTGTACCCAAGTGTTTCCTGGGTGGAGAGCTGGGGGTTCCCAGGGTGGGTGGGGGCTGCCCAGGTGTCCGGGGCTTTTCCCTCCGCTGGTGATTTGAAAAATCTTTTGGTTCCATCCCCCAGTTTAGAAAGTAGGGGCAGTGAAACACTGAGACCGGGAATAGCAAATCCCTTCCGTTTGTCTTGTTGTTTTCTAATGTATGCGACCTCTCTGGGTGGTTTAAGCGGTTTAGGTACTTTCTATAAAAGGGATCTTTTAATGACAAAACTAATGTGATTATCTTACCAAGTGTGAGAGGCGTATTCAAGGTTTAAAGAAAATCTGTTAGAATAGCTGAATGTATCTGCTTAATCCTTTCTCTAATGTGGGTGGACAATGCTCTGGGAAGCAATTGGTCTTTCTTTCTTAGAGTAAATGCCTGGTCTCCAGAGGTAGGAACTTGTTTGCAGCTTTTTATACCCTTACGCTTCACCTTCTAGAGAATACAAAGGCGCAGGAGAGAGGCAGAGAGCTTTGAGAGGCCAAGTTTTACCTCAAATAGCTGGGGGTGTAACCAATACAGGGCCAGTTCCGGCAGGCGGCTGAGCACTCTCTGCTCCCTTTGACTGCCACCTGAATAGAGAGTTCTCCTTTTTCCAGTCCTGCAAAACCACACTCCCTGCAGCATGGAATACAGGAATGTGTTCTCCTTTCTGAGTGCATGGTGAAGTCGCCTGCAGTTACTTGGATGACAAGACCCTGTCTGGTTTTGTGCTTTGGGTGAGCAGCCCTACCCCTGCAGGTCCAGGGCTTTAGACCCAAAGGTCCAGTTTTCCATATCAACCCCTTGAAAAGGTTTGCACCTTCTGACAAGTTTTTGCAGGGTGGTGCCTGTGCCAGGAAGGGAGGACAGCACTAAAAGGTGGTGTTATGGGATGCAGCCACAGCTGGACCTTGTCTGGCACCAGCCTGGTGGTGTTCAGCTTCTCTGCTGTTCACAGGCTGGTGCTTGTGATTCTTTGGTTTCCCCATGTCCATCTGAAAGCACAGATCTTAGACACTTCTTCTCCGGAGCAGTGAACAAGACAGGTAGAACCCCCCATGTTGCTGAAGCATTTAACAAAGCAAGTGGTGGCTGTGGGACTCGTTAGCAGATGGATTTGGCTTTACAGCAGACAAACAGGTTGCATTTTCTAATTTGTTTTCTGAGCATCCTCAAAACAGCACATCAGGAGGAAAAGGATACTGGCTATTGCCTTTCTCAGTTGG